GAAACAGAAAAAGAGGAATGTCAACTAAGGCTGCTCATTTCTCTCTCTTTCTCTTTTATTCAATCCTGGGTCCAAGCTCAAGGGCTGGGATGATGTCATTCACATCCAACTTAAGCTTTTCCTCATTAGTTATTCCTCTCTGAAAAAACTCCAGAAATGTGACTCCACTAAAGTCTTAGGCATTCCTTAATGCAATCAAACTGATGAGGAAAACTAACCATCATCGAACCACCTCCAATCAATTGTCCTTACATAAGAGTAAGAAATGGTTTTGGAAAGGCTCTTCCGACTCCTACTCACATTCTTAACCCTACACCCCCATTCCTCATACCTCTACACCCCAACTCTCTACCTCTCACCCTCTATTACTCCTATGCCCAATTTAAGGCATTAGCTGAGTGAATGAAGGACAGTTCATCTGCTGGAAGATAGGAAGATTGAAAGCATCAGGTTGGTGTGTGTGTGTGCATGTGTGAGTGTATGTGTGTGTGTGTGTGTGTGTGTGTGTGTGTGTAAGAGAGAGAGAGAAAGAGTGAGACAGAGACAGAGAGAGACCCATTTAAACATGCTTATGCTAATATAATTGAACATCAAGTATAAAGTTAGGCTTGTGAATTTGGAGGTCAAGAAGGAGGTTGGGATGGGAATAAGGTGGAATCATCAGACGAGGAGCTGGTTTGAAAGGCAAACACTGGTTGAAGTCATTATGTGGGCTATACACAGATGAATGGGGAAAAAACCAAGGTCTTGGATACTGCTGTACTTTAAGGCTACAGAATTGGAAAAGAAAAGGAGCAATGACAGGTGTGGTGACGATCCAAAGGCAGCTGCCATTACCAGCACCACAGAGTGATGTTTTCTCCTGCTTCCTGCCCTCTACCTATTCCTGCTCCTGACCTGAAAACATTCTAGGGTGAGGTGATGGTTATTTGAATAAGGAAGCATTCTTCTGAAGGTTTCTTTGCTAGAGGCTCTCTTCCCAATACAGGTCCTGCATGGAATCTGTCATGGTGGGCATCTTGCGTGTATCTTGGCTTCCTGTTGCTATGAGGTAAACATTTCTCCAGCACACCCTTTTGTCACGGTGTTATACCTCACACAGATCGAAACAAAGGAGCCATCTGACCATGAAAGAACCAAAATAAATCTCTCCTCCACTTAAGTTGCTAATGTCATCTATTTCATTGTATCGGAGAACATCTAGCAGCTGGTAGTTTTGAAACTCCATGTCCACTGAAATACTAGCAAGCTCTTTGAAGGTCAGGAATAGTCAGACAACACAAGCCACGCAAGACAAGCTCATACTTGGACACTTGCTTCCTGGAAGGTAGTGCTATTTTAGGCAACTGTGGAACTTTTAGGAAGTAGTGTTTAGCTGACAAAAATATGTAATCTGAGCCAAGCCTTTGAAGGCTATCCCACTCCTGAGTCTAGTTACCTTCTGCTTTGCTTCTGGCCCACATGACACAACTTCTACCATGTTCCACTGCCACGGACTGAGCTCCACCTGCCTTCTCATCCATGTTGGATTGAACTCTGAAACCTTGAATCAAAATAAACCTTCCCTTCCTCGAGCTGCTTCCACCAGATCTGTGGTGACAGCAATGCAAGGGTAGTGAATGCAGGAAATTTGTTCCAAGAATGGGGTTACTGTGGCAATTAAGCCTGATCATGTGGTTTGATGGGAACAGGAACTCTAAAGAAGCCAGAAACCGTAAGAGGCATTTTATGACAAAGATTTTGACTATATTTCTCTTGGGTCCTGAAGCTTTGAATGGAATTGAATTCAAACATGAATTGATTAATCTGGTTGGGGAGATTTTGGGGCAGCCTAGAACTCAGGTGTGGTTATTATCAATTACTTCAACCAGGGCTACAAGGAGAAGTGGGGCAAAAAACAAAGTAGAAAGTTGTAGGGAATGTATAATTTTTCAGAAAAAGAATGTAAGCATGTTTAAAGTAGCAGGGAACTCTTTGTTGCTAAGAAGAGATTCTTGTTGCTAAGGAGAAGCTGAGCGGACGTGACTGGGAAGGAGGAAATGTACCTCCAGCATTTCAGGAAGTGATGAGAACACTGAAAGAATTTTCTTTCAAAGAGGGCCCCAGGGTGTCTTATCAACATGGGGCAGCCACCACCTAGTCACTCAGAGAGAGGCTGCAGCCATAGTCCACAGGGCCAGGTAACTGCCTGAGTAGAAGACAGAACTTGGCATCACACACAGTACTGGTTTTGTAGATGTGCAGAATGCAAGAGCTATGAAGTCATGTAAGTTTGCACCCAGACTTTTAAAGAAAGCTTGGGAACCAGGCAATAACCACCTAGACAGATTCCTGTGAGGGTAAAATCTAAATTACAGTGGAAGCCCAGGATATTAGAGATGCCAGGAACATGGCATGTCCATGGAGGAAAACTGCAGGCCTTAACTGAACCAGCCCAAGAGAGAGGTCACTATATACTTCAAACACAGGTGTGGCTGCTCTAACCTGGAAGTGGAGGGATAGGATTAAGCGTTTGCCCTGCTGGGTTTGGGTCTTGGCTTTAGTCCTATCTTTCATATCTGTGGCCTAGTCCTCCTTTATGGAAAGGGAACATTTACTCTGTGCCCTTGTACATGGGAAGTATGCAACTTTCTTTTTTTATTTTATAGGGGTTCAGAATTAGGACTTAGCCTTGAGTCTCAGAAAAGATTTGGTGTTTGCATTCTTGAACAGTGTTGAGAATACTCCCATACAGGGGACTCTTGAAGTTGAACTATATGGATTTGTGGAATGAAATGGCCATGGATCTTTGGGGGCAATGTGGAATGTTGTGGGTAGAATCTGTAGTCTCCACAGTTCATACTTTGAATGCTTGTTTCCTAGTTGGCAAAGCTATTTCAGCCTGGGGAAACTTTGTGAGGTCAGGCTTCTGTGAGTGGGTCACTAAGAACATCAAACCTCATCCTTGTTTGTGTCGGTCTCTCTGCTCCCTGGTCCACTGTGATACAAACAGTTCTTGCCACACGCTTTCCTGCGAACCGAGATGCTTCACCATGTCTTCCCTGCTATGATGGAATGAGCCCTAGAAGAGACCCTTCCTCCATTAAGTTGTCACTGTCATGTATGGTGGTCTCAGCAAGGCAAGAACAACGTAGCCGTCATCTGAGGATAAGGATGAGGGAGAAAGATTGCAGGCCCAGGGAGAGACAGGAGTCACATGGGAGCCACACTGTTGCACATTTGCCCAGGACATTACAGGCCACACCGGAAGCAAGTAGATGTGGCTTTAAAGTTGGATCACTGAGAATAGCTGTGTGACCTCTATCCAGTGGCTGGGCAGGCAACAGTGTGGTTTAATCAAGAGAGTTCTCTAAAACAAGGATAGCAACCGAGTTAGGGGTTATTCAAGAATGTAATGATATGGATTGGCCACTAACGGGGGCTTAGAGAATGGAAAACACTAGGCTGCTATAAGCACAGCAGGTTCTGGTGGCAGTGGCATGAGGGAGGAGCAGACGACATGTTTACAAGTTAAGTTCCTATCTGCCCTACTAGCTCAAGAAGCAGATCTACCATCTCATTGCTAACACCTGGACTCCTGCCAAGCAGCCAGTAGCAACCAAATAAATGTCGGCTACATAAAGACCAACTGAATGAGTGAACAGATGTTTCCTGTGTTGTATCTCACACTAGGTCACCAACCCCACCAGGTCAATCACATGTCCAGGTTGCTCTTCTTTGTCTCTTTAGTACCAACATCTTGCTAAATGCATTGCAGGTTCTCAAATATATCTGTTAATGTGACATGAGTTTAATTGATTTGAAGAACAAGAAAAGCAAACTCAGCAAACCATAGCAGGTTAGGTCATTAAAAATTTATGACCAGCCACATATAATTCCGATGAGAAAGGAGAGGGAACAAATTAAGGTCTTCTGGTAATTAATTAACAAGTTCAATTAGAGCATCAAAGTCCTGCATCAAAGAATAAACAGAACTGCTCTGCATAAACAGGCAGGGGGTAAGGACCATGCCAGTGCTAGTGATGGAAGCCTGGTGCAAGGTCCAGCTCAAGTTTCAACCTGACAGTTGATGGGGAAAAACTCCCTCAACTCCAAACCAAGTACCAAGTGGGTACGCTGTCAACTAGACTGCTCTCCAAGATGTGGAGAGCAGGTAGCTCCTCAGAGGAGCATGTGCTGAGACATGAAGACAAGCTGAGCAGCCACCAGCAAGTGCCCTTGGGTTGGACTGAGAACTTATCCTGCACAAAATCATGAAGTTGAAAATGTCATTTCATGAAATCACATACCTTGGCTCCTGGATCCCACCCAAGTCTTATATCTTCCTTCCTAGTGTGAGGCTAAACCCTCTAATACTGCCTCATCCCCATGCAAAGCTGCTTAAGACAGAATAAACCTCGAATTCATGCTGAGTGAAATATCTCATGGTCCAAGCAAGCAAGAAGCTGTTAGTGGACAGATTCATCTCATATCCTGTGTGGTACCCAGGGCCTACACTGTGAAGATGAAGAAGATGAAGGAGATGATCAAAGAATGTTTGTTCAATGAATGAGTGAATTCATGGCTGAACACACCAGTGTATTAGTACTCACACAGAACAAGTTCACATTTCAACAGACAATGTTTTAAACATATCTCTTCATTAATAAAATGCAAATAAAGATGTTAGCATGGATGAACTGAAAACATACTAAGTAGGAAATACTCTAGACACAAAAGTTGCTGAATAAGCAAGCTCTTATAGAAAGAAAGCATACTTGTAATTACCAGAGGCTTCTGCATGCAGGGGGAGGAGCTTCATGGAGGACACATAAACATAAACAGGAATACAAAACAAGTGGCACATGTATGAAGGCAAGATATACTGTGCATCTCACTCTGTGGGGAAAAGTGCTGATTGGAACAGAAACAGCAAACAGTGTGCTGGTGGCCATGTGAATTGCACCCTTGATAAACTAGGGAGCAGTACACATGAATAACGTGGGAAAGCCTCACTGGTGATGACCACTCAGGTTTGCAAAGGTGAAAAGAGCAGCATCCAGGTTGAATCTGGAAAATACGAAGCACAGATGAGGAAGTTTCCTGTTTGCAGCAGCCAGTATGTGCATCAGGGAGAAGATCAAAGTGCACTGAGCAAACACCACGCAGCACCAGGGATCCGGCAAAGAAGTCTGGCTCCTGCCAGTGCTCCAGGATGCAAGATAAAAGGCAAACAGCTCTGCAGATTCCTGGCCTTCCTGGCCTTTCCCCTTCACCTCCTACCCGCAAGGCTACAGACAAAAATCTTAATGATGGCTCTCAGATAACCTTAACTGAACTGTAGCTGGAGGTTACAAAGAGGGATGTTATATTCAGATTTCAATTGCCTTCTTTGTTCACATTGTCATTAAATAATTGATTCCATTATTTGCCTTTGACTTACACAAATATTTGCTCCATTTTATTTACCAGACACTGCTAAGAACTCCAGGAGACATAAAGATGGTGCCTTAGAGTTTCTATTACTGTGATAAAGCACTGTGACCAAAAGAAACGGGGGGGGGGGGGTTGCTTACTTTTCCACATCACAATCCATCATTAAAGGAAGTCAAGGCTAGAACTCAAACAGGGTACAAACCTGGAGGCAGGAGCTGATGCAGAGGCCATGGAGGAGTATGGAGGAGTTCTGCTTCCTGATTTGCTGTCCAGGTTTTGCTCAGCATGCTTTCTTTTCCATCCAACCTGCTCAAGAGTGTCACTGCCTACATTAGGCTCCTACAATCTCTAATTAAGAAAATGCTCCACAGGTTTGCCCCAGGCCAACTGAGGCTCCTCTTTCCAGATATCTCTAGTTTGTGCCACATTGGAAAACAAAACTAAGCAGGACAGACAGGTAATTCATCTCACATAAAACCTATTTGTTTAACCATTTAGCATATGGATTCCCAAATACCTCCTCTGGGGGTAGGTATTGTTCTAAATATTTGATGTTGCATTTACATCCGAAAACAAAACAAAATTGCTAACTTTATGGAGCTGGCAGTGACATTGGTGTACAATTTAATGGCCTGGTTAGACAACTATACAAACAAATACGACTCAGTGGAAACAAATGCAATAAGGGTTGAAGGAAGAGAACTATGTTTACAAAGAAGATATTTGCCTGGGAATGAGGGAAAGCTGGGGGAAAGGATACTGTTCAAATTTAATTGGAAGAAGGCAGCAAAAGAAGAAATCGGTGTTTCCAATCACAAACTAGGGCTAGCCAGGAAAGCCAAAGGTGAACTTGGGGAAGGCAGAGGGCCAGATGTGATGACCAGAAAGAAGCTAGAGACAAGAGGTAAATGTAGCTTGATGGGAGATGTCATTCTGTACATGTTTCTCATACTGGTTAATGAATAAAGCACTGTTGGCCAATAGGAAAGGAAGATAGGAGGGACTAGGAGACAAGGAGGAAATAAGAAGTAGTAAGGGGAGCCAAGATGGAGAGTCTGGAGAGAATAGAACCGCCATTCCTCCGCTCTCGGTAAGACCACGTGGAAATACATAGAAATGGGTTAATACTTAAGACAGAGCTAGCCAATAAGAAACAAGTAACTGGCCAACAGCATAACATCAAATACAGAGTCTCTGTGCGTTATATGGGGCTGGCGCAGCTGCGGCGGGACAAGACTGGCGGCGGGAGGAAAAACCTTACAGTAGCTGGCTTTCTTTTGGGCCACCAACAAGCTCCAAAATCATGACACAGAGACTTATTATTAGTTATGAATGCTTGGCCTTATCTTATGCTTGTCCTATTAGTTCTTATAACCTAAATTAATCTGTTTCTCTCCATCTATGCTTTGCCTCAGGACTTTTTACCTTTCTTTCATTCTGTGTGTCCTACTTTCCTCACTTCCTCCATGTCTGGCTGGCAGCTGCAGGGTCCTGGGCATCTCCCTTTTATTTCATTGTGAAGATATCCAATCTTGTTCCATCAGTCACCAGTGACTCCAATCAGTTAGGGATCAAAAACCCAGTAGCTGGTCTCACTGAATATTTGAGGAGAAAGTTGAATGACTGCCAGACCCTCCCATATCTAGAGCCCACTCATGACAGATTCTGGAGAAGATGAGGAATTCTACTTCTGCAGGTTTTCTGAGCCCTGAAGGCCCTTTCTCCACATCTCTTGTGGACTAGAGTCTCTTGGCTATCTGAACCCTGCTTAGGTGTCCTCTCGGATTTTTCCAGAATGGAACGTCCTTTGGGATCATCTACTGGTTCTCCCTCTAGGACATAGCTGTCTGTAGTTTGGTTTCTTCTCTGCAGATGCCTGTTGAAGGGCTTCTGGTCCCCATTTTCAGGAAGAGAAACTACAGCAAAATTAGTTGTTCACATAGTAATCCTATAACAGAAGACCTTGGGTGCTGACATAGGCATGGAAACTTGCCCCTGCCAGCCTCCCTGAGTGCTGGGATTAAAGGTGTGCACCATTACACCTGGCTCCGTTGCCCTTTTTCAATCTGCAGCTTGATATAAATGAACTCCAAAGGGCAATGCAGTTGGAAAGAAATGCATAATTTGAGCCTTTGGAGTCCAGAGATTTGAACTCAAGTTTTAGCTGTGCAGAGGCAGGAGTTGATCTTGGTTTACAAAATGGCTCCTAATGCATGTGGTTGGCAACAAGAAACTGAAATCATGACTGTGACAATGATTTGTAAGTTCCATGGCACTTATAAACACATGTGATTATATTTCCTTTTAATCTTCTTTAATCTATTTAACTGACTCAGTGGTGGCTGAGCATGCAGTGTTTTATAAGTACTGAGAACACTGGAGTTGGGATTTTCATGTTAGCTCAGAACTGTGCCCAGTCAGGACTGTCCCTCCTCTGGTCATGTTGGTGCCTAGGGTCATCTGTGTCATTCTCCTCTCAGAAGAAATGTCTGATTCATTCTGGCCTTTTGGAATTGAATCTCATCCAGATATCTAGGCTAACACCTGTCGGAGTTTGAGAGAATATGCTGCATGGAAACACCTGCATTGCTGTTACTGTGTGAATTGTTACTGTGTGAAGGCCAGATTCTTCATGTCTCAGTAGTTCTCGGGCTAATCAAATGGTTTTTGTTTTCTTTTTTCTTTTTTTATGGAGAAAGTGCTCTGAAATGAAGAGAAGCCAGAAGAGCCATGCAGAAGGACTGACTGAACATCAGAGAGTTCTTTGGGACCTGAGCTAAATCTGCCAGAGTGAGTGTTGAAGCAATGAACAGAGGTCAGCTTGGTGGAGACAGAGAGCAGTAAACCGTGTAGACTAGGTTTGGATGAAGGGATCAGATTGCTTGTCAATCAATCCAACCTTATAGTTCAGCTTGTCTCTTGAGGTTTTATGAGGTTTCTTCTAAACCACCCTCACTATTAGGAAAAAATACTTTTCAGAAGTCAAGAAGTAAAAGTGGCGAGTATCTTGGTTTTGTATCATGAGCATTTTTGGGGGTCTCCAGCTGGCAACTCCTTGTATAAGGGTTAAAGTCATGAACACACCAACCACAAAGACCTGTTCTTATCTGATGTTTGCCTTGGAACCTGTAGGGCTTTGGGAGAAAGAAAACATTCAGGGGTAGTAGAGGAAAACGATAACTCTAATCATATAACTAGCTTCACCCCCCCTTATGGGTTCTGGGTCTTGGATAGCTACTCCCAAAGTCCCTTATCATATAGAGACCTGAGAGATTGGGAGCTATATAAACTGGACTGGGGAAGTCAATGGGCCATAGAAAATCCTTTATTGCATAAAGCCCAAGAGAGACAACATGAAACACCTTGTGAGTACATTTTTAATTTTGAATGTGGGTGATTATATTTTCAGAGTCAAAATAGCCAAGGAGGTCTGTTTTCTCCCCTCCCCCAGGAACTCTTCAAATTCAACCCAAATAGAATTTTCAAACTATGATTTGGCATGTGATCTTCTGCTGGCAATTGTCTATTTTGCAGAATCTGAGTGAATGGTGTTTTCTACTGGAATCAATAATTTAATTTCTTAAAGGTCAAGATTCTTTCAGGGCTAGGTAGATACACACATTTTAGAGTCCCGTCTTCAGTGGTGTTTCTTACTTATGAATTGCTGGTGAAAAAATGAGAGGTATATATATATGGCACCCGCTGAAATAGTGTGTTTTTGTTCCTTTGGACTTTTTGAGACAAGGTCTCATTCTGTAGTTCAGGCCACCTTGCACTCCTTGTGACTTGCCTCAAACTTTGGAAATCCTTTATATTAGCCTCCCAGGCACTGTTATTAAAGGCATGCATGGCTGCCGCGCCCCCCCCCCCCAGCTTTCAATCATCTAATAAAGCAGTCTTGCCTTCTGCAGCTCCCCTGTCTCGTGGCAGGTCTCATTGCACTGTGATGATAACAATATTGTAGAACAGCCGTTTTCTTTGCCTTTGAGGTGTAGCTTGCCTTTTATTATTAAAATGAATGCAGACTTTACATGGATGCACAGAGAAGGGAAGATCTTGTCAGTTCCACTTGACATGATGGCTGCAGGTGAGATGGGTGAGCCTTAAATATATGATAAACTATTGCTAACTTATCCCAGCCCCCAATTCTTTAATTAATGACTGATACGGAGAATTCCCTCAATGGTCAGGGCACAGCACACAGAGGAAATGAGAAACTCAGTTTAAAGCCTAGGTATATTTTTTTAAAGATCTATGTATTTTATGAGTACTCTATCTGCATGTACACCTTCATGCCAGAAAATGGCACCAGATATCATTATAGATTGTTGTGAGACACCATGTGGTTGCTGGGAATGGAATTCAGGATCTCTGGAAGAGCAATCAGTGCTCTTAACCACTGAACCATCTCTCCAGCCCCAGCCCAGGAATAATCTAACATAATTTTCCCCAAAATAGTGTGTGAATGGTGGTATCTTTTCTTACTAGACAAGGTAAGAGACTCTGGAGGAAAAAAAAAACCTGGAGGAAGTCAGTCCCCAAAGGGGTGGAGGGTGGGCGCAGGGGGTGGAGCAGGGCCAAATGTGAGCATTGGGGTTTGGGTGAAGAGCTGGAACAGAGGGCATGTCCAGTCATGGAAGTAGAGGGGATGGTGCACAAAGGAAAATTGGGAACCTGTGCTATCACAGCCCAGGCTGGTTCTGTCCTGTGTGCTGACCAGAGTCTCTAAGGCTGGCTAAATCTGTCCCAGTGGTTGACACTGGAAGCCACACAGGAAGTATCCTTGAATGACTGATAAAGCTTTGTCACCGGAGCAGTGGGCATACCGTGTTTGGTATGGTAAACTGTGGTCTCCTGCCACACTCAGGGCCCTGGAGGGATGAGCAGAGGTGAGAGCTGTGAACCCTCATCAGAAGGATTTGTCCCATAAGGCAGACTCTGGAGTCCAAGCTCATTCGAGGCTAAGGATAAAGAGCACTGAACTGTGTTTCATTTCAGATTGCATCTTCCATTCTTGTGAGCATCTTTCTAGTTCCATCTCTGGCCCTGATGGTGAGTATGGTGGAGAGGACCCAGTCTGCCTGACTCTTTCTTAGCACAAGCATTTCAAAGCTAGCAACCAAGGTTGGAATGTCTTGGGAATCCCCCTTAACCCCATAAGGGTAGACACTTGGGGCCACTGACTTTTTCCACTGCTGATTGATCTTTTCTAGAACACCAGTGACAGTCATCCTATGGATGGCTCTGTGGGAACCCAGATCATCCATGTCGATGCCCTCCTAGGTATCGTCAGCATCCAAGACAACAATGTTTTGAGTGAATGGAATGGAATCGTGGACTACAAGAGTGTAAGATGTGAAACACGCTTATTACAATGCCAAAGGGACTCCTGTGTGATCCCAATGCACCAGAGTGCCTTTCCATCTTTCTTGTCCTCCTATGAGGCTGATGCTATTTTGTCTTAACTCCATATTCTAATGTCAACTTCTAAAGGAATATTGCTATGAACTACCGTCTCCTTCAGTAGAATGACACATGACCAGGAAGAGAAATCCTGTGCCTTGGTGGAACTTTAATAGAATGTGTTATGGCCACAGAGATATTTTTTCTGCCTGGCATGCCTCAGTTACCATATCTGTAAAACAGCTCCAACAGCTGCCTCTCCTACCTAGTGGGACCTTCAAGGAAGAAACAAAGAAAACTCCCACACTCTGCCCTTGGCTACACAGACTGTCCTTACCCAGATGTCACATTCCTGTCATGTCTCTTCCTTGAGCACTTTCTCTCTCTTCACCTCCCTACTCCTAATGCCCCAAGGAGATCTCCTGAATCCTCACAGAAGGTTTACAGATTGATTGCCTCTGATGGTTGCTGTTGTATCCCAAGTAAAAATTTCCTCACACAGCATTCCACTGTTGACCACTAGGTGGCGCAAGGAAGGCAAAACTATCACTAGAGGTTTATCTTAACAGCTGTGTTGGGGCTCAGACTCAGCAACAGCAAACTGCAGCTCCCATCTAAGCCAGGAAAGAAAACAAATAATATACCACAAGGAAGGAACATCCAGGACATACCTAGCTCTAGAATCCAAATGCCATGGTCATGACTCAGGCCTCCTGCCTGCCTTGGGTTTCCAGAGAGCCACACAGCATTCTCCCAGGCAGTGAGGAATCTCAGCTCTCCCATCAACTTCATGACAACTCCATGGAAGAAAGGCTATTCCTCCTGATTTACAGATAAAGTAACCGAGGTTCAGGGAAGCCATTGAGGATCCCAAGAGTTGTTGAGTAGCAGGCCAGGCCCTTAAGGTCATCAATATTGTTATATTATCATCCTGCCCAATCAGGCATACACACCTTTCTGTTAGCATTTTGGAACACCCTGAGAGAGAAAGCCTTCGCCATCAGGAGCAAAGGAGAGCAGCGGGGCTCAGTACCACACTGCTCCTGATGCTGCCGTGCTCTGGCATCCAGGGAGCAGCATTGCTGAGGAGTCTGGCATTGCAGTCAGACTAGCAGGGTCTAGACACCTGAGTGGAGCAGCTGTTAGTACTGAGACTGATCGGATGCCATTTTTCTGCTCTGTTGCTTTAAGGACCTTCTGGCAGCTAAACTGTTTGGTAAGATGGCCTGTGTCCTGGCCAAGATGGACCTAGCAGTCTTCCCAAGTTTGGATGAAATTACTCAGGCCCTGGGCAAACAGGTGAGTGAATCCAGTTCTCTCTGATACACATCTGCTATGGGGTTTCCCAGCTCATAGCCAGTGTCCTGGGCTCACTCATCCATACCTATTCTTCATGCCATGAAATCACATCATATGCAAAGAACTTGAGGACATCAGTGGCCCAATCAAGGTAAGGCACAGTTGAATCAATGACCTCATTCCCAATGGGCTCAAGCTATGCCAGAGAAGACAAATGGTAGGATGTAATGATTTCATGTCCCCTGCCTTCTCTCCTTCCTATTTTTCTGACCCCCCCACAAACATGGACATGCCCATACACAGTTATCATATTATCACCATCATCTTTAATTACAATTAATCCCAAGAATGCTGAAACTCTCAAATGAGACAGAACTGTTAATAGAAATAAATTAAAAACCAGGAAGAAGTTGGAAACTCATGGAATCTGCTCAAACTTTGCTTAAATATCAACAAGTTTGAACAGCACTCAGGACTGGGGGCAGCGGTGCTACCTCTAGGGAAGAAATGTGTTAAAGTAATACTATTTTTTAATTTTTTTATTTTCTAAAGTAATACTATTTTAAAAAAGAAGTTGGGATAGAGAAATGGCTCAGACATGAAGAGCACTTGCTGATCTCACAGAGGACCTAGTTTGGTTCCCAGTCCCCACAAGGTGACTCACATCAGTCTGTAACTTTAATTAAACACTCATACACATAAAATTAAAATGCATAAATCTCTAAAAGAGAAGTTAAAGGTGTCCATTTCATCTAAATTGATAAGACATAAATGTAACAAATGTTTTAAACTACTCTCTGTTCTGGTTCTGATTCAGAAAGCATCTAAGGCTAACAGGAAAAAACAAACAAAACAAAACAAAACAAACAAACAAACAAAAAAAAAAACCCACTGGGACTCATAGATTTTTACCAGAGTTGCTTTCGCCCTCTTGTGGTTTGGTATAATATCATGCAGAGGAAAGCAAGTCTTGATATGTCATATCTGAGATGCCCCTTCTTCCAGGCTTCTGGTCACTACCCACCCTCCCGTGGACTGACCTACACCGTTATACCCAGCCGAGTCAAAAACTTGGCCCAATATGGAATGCCTGTCAAGGACCTGTGCAGAGCAGTCCCCACCTACTTTGCCCAGCAGCAAAAAGAAGGTGTGTTTAAAGGGCAAAAAGAAGGTGGTATGTGAATCAAAAGACACAGGAGGAATTACTGGACCTATCAGTGAGCTGTAATGACAGCCCATTCCATCGCTTCTCCAGTGCAAGGAAAGTCGGTGTGGCCTGGGGTGTGTGTTCCCCTGCTGGTACAGGGGATTCCATATGGGGCTCATAGGAAGGCCAAGGCCAGTCATTTCCTCATGGATCTGATGGCTGATGGACATCCTGCCCTGATTCAAGCTTTGCCATGCCCATGGTAGGGGAAGGTCTATGACTTTAGAGTCCTTGGTTCTACTCTTTCTCATGTCAACTGGAGACAGAGTTTTCACACTAGGGAAAGAATAGTTGATGACTGGCAATCCTGCTGGGGTGGGAGGGTCAGTGTCCTGAAGAGCCTAGCTAGTAGGGTAAGCACATGGCTTACACCTTAGTCTATGTTTCCTCATAAGCCAGAGTTCTTTAAAACATGTGGGTACAGGAGAGAAACAGAACATGCAGGGCCAGGGAATTAAAATGTATAATAAAGGAGGAGGAAAGGAAGGAAGGAAGGAAGGAGGGAGGGAGGGAGGGAGGGCAGGAGAGAGGAAGGAGAGAAGAAAGGAAAGAAGAAAGGAAGGTAGTTACTGTAGGCACTGTAGAGAGGGGCCAGGGTGGGCCTGCGCTGACCTGAGCATCTGTACAACGCAGGCCTGATGTACTGGATGACTCTGGCCTTGTTTCTAAAGTGCAGTTCCCTCCTCTTGAAGGCACCGCCCTGGCAATGGACCCAGACTTCTGTTCTGAGCTCCAGATTCTCTCCTTCATGGGACTGTCCATCTGTGGTGAGATCCTTGGGCTCTGAGCCCCTATGTCAGCCATGTGAAGACTGCACATGCCTGCTCCAGCCGCCGCCTATGGGAAGCAACTCTTCCCAGTCCTCTGCCTTCTGGCTTTCCACACAGCACTAGCTTTGTAATGGGTAGGTGAGGGGAGGGTAAGGGCATTTCTACCTTCTAGGAAGACATAATAAAGTTTCTATGTCACTGGTCTAGCAGATACCCTCATCCTCCGCAGGCTCCCTCATCCTCCGCAGGCTCCCTCATCCTCCGCAGGCTCCCTCATCCTCCGCAGGCTCCCTCATCCTCCACAGGCCCCTCATCCTCCGCAGGCTCCCTCATCCTCCACAGGCTCCCTCATCCTCCGCAGGCTCCCTCATCCTCGCAGGCTCCCTCATCCTCTGTGCACTGCCAGCCATGTGCAACACAGAGCATACTACAGCATGGAGGTGGCTCCACCAGAGTCTCTCATTTCTGAGTGTCTTTAGTCTATCCCTTGAAAAGTTTTGGCTATAAATGAACAAACCACCAATGGCACCCAATCTGGGTGGTCAGGCTTGGGGCTGAACTTATCTCCTGAAAACTAGGCCTGGGGCTCCTGGGATGTCTCTTTCTTGTGCCGGCCCAGCTGCAAAGTAACAACCTATAGAGTAGTATTTGAGCCTCCTTCTAGAATGCTAAGCCAGGAGCAGTGTCTCTTAGATAAATGTCCCCATTGCAAATTAATAAAGATCCAGATATTTAGCCCTCATTCTATAAATGTCCCCCCCTTGAGAGGAGAGCCTTGTCCCTATCATTAGCCCCTCCACCCATGTGGTGTCACCTAACTGTCCCCATCACTCCTGACCCTTGGGAACTCAAGTTCCTTCTAGAGTGGGGTCTATTTCACAAAGCAGACCTCTGTTGTCCCCAGCAAGGGACTCCCCCACACACACACATACAGTTGTTCATGGCTACAGTCTCCTCAGCTCTGTGGAAGAATCAGAGCCGGAGGCCTCCAGTTCTGGCTCCAATCAGAGAGCCAGAGCACAAGTTCCTCAGGACTGTTGTCCTGGCAGGAATGGCAGCTCATTTCCAGAGATTGCTGCAGCCCAGAGGGCTCCCTTTTCATTGAGCTGTATGATAAATGTTGAAAATAGATCAAAATTTCTTTTTAGTCTTAAGGTGAGGCACAGCCCTTGCTTTCCTGACCTGGTCTTTCTGAGATTGTTACCTCATGACCCTAACATGGCCAAGGCAGCTCTGGAAGGAGAATAGGAAAAAGCAAAGAACAGACTTTCCAGCCACATGAATCTGTCTTTCTTTATATGGAAAGAATATGGCTCCCAGAAGTCTCATGTAGAAACATCTGCCTACATGTTATTGGTCATAGCCTTGGTCACCTAACCACTCAAGGCCAATCTACTCCTTGCTTTCTTAAGAGAAAATATGATCTTGTTTACTTAGGAGAAACAGGACTGACTTAGCTCAGACTTTCTCCACATTTGACTATTAACACTTTGAGCCATAAAATTCTTCATTGTGGAGCCATACTGTGCATTTCAGGGTGTTGAACACCATCTGTCCTTACATTGCTGGAGGATAGGACCTTCTCTGGCTGTGACAGCAATGATGGCTCATCTCCTGAGGACAGGAGAGAAGTCATATACAGTTGAAAATTAACTTGACAGATCATGCTTAGTCCCCTACAACTGAAGGAATAAACAGAGGGAATGCTTAGCCTCTACTCACATAGCCTGGGCTAATGCTGGCTGGAAAAGGGGGACTGAGGAAGACTTGGGCTGTCAGTGAGCCTCTTTTGAAGAGGAATATTAGACATCTGTGATTAGCAGCAGATAAGTGATCCTTTCCCTAGGTTTTCTCTGTAAGGGTCATTCATCCCCATGTTTTTAGAAGTCATTTTTCATATTTTGCTCAGGTGCACAACTGTAATGGTAGAAAAGCTGGACTGATTTAAATTATGTCATCATTATCAGAAACCATAAGTATTGCTCAATATTGATATTTTTAGTTCACCATGCATTCATTTTGTTTGCCCAAATAACACCAAATTCATTCACCAAGTCAATAATCCTACCAGGTAATTCTGCAATGAAATATTGGGGTCTACATCTTCTAATGCCAGCATCTATGAAAAAATACATTTTAATCCCCTTAGCTGAGCAAATGAGTCTATATGACACATGGGGTTTTATTTGCTGTGAGGAGGAACATGTAGGAAGTAACAGTCCCATCTAGCCCTCCACCCGATCTTGGCTCCTCAAGGACTCCTTTTGCATGCTGGTTCCATGCATGGCTGATCTTCCTTTCCTTTTGTGATCATTGGTCCAGGCTCCATCCTCTTTGCTCATAGCTCAAAGAGGGCCTTGGGCCTGAGCACCCTGTAGTTCAAAGGCTGACATTTACTTTCCTTAGCTCTTAGAAGGGACTAACTATGAAGAACTGTAGCAGGGCCCCAGCCTCCCTAGAAGGGAGGGGAGATTTAGAAACAGAAATGTGAGGAAGCAGACCTATGGCTCTGCTTTCAAAGTGGAACCAATATGGTTAAAGCAAGAGGAATCATATGAGCATACCCCCAAGGAAGCTGTAAATGCTAATGGTCTTTCTGTGCCAAGCCTCCCATTTCAGCCATGGAGCTAGTTGGGGTCATCTCTAGAGGCTTTAGCACTAAAACCAACTCATAACCAGAATGAAGAGAAACCCCTGTCTCTTTGGAAATGAAGCTGAAATGGGGACCTTGTGGCAGACCATGGTGCTGGGTCTCTCTTTTCATGCAGAAAAGTCATGAGAATGAGGAGGCTGACACAGAAAGATTACAGCTGAGAGGCAGAGAAGAATCTAATTGCTATCAAGCACCCAGCTCTGGGAACCCCTCCTTTTCTGAGGCTTAATACATAAGATGCTCAGCTTACCCTCAACTGCAACAGATATGAAATGGGAGATGTCATTCTGTACATATGTTTCTCTTATTGGTTGACAAATAAAGCACTGTTGGAAAGTAGGAAACCTAGATAGGTGGGACTAGGAGACAAGGAGGATTCTGGGAGATGAAAGAGAGGATTCAAGATGTAGATACTTGAGAGAGAAGAGGTCTGGATCCTCTCTCCAATAACATAAGACCATGTGGAAACACTTAGATTGATAGAAATGGGTTAATATTTAAGACAGAGCTAGTCAATAAAAAACACTAGTAACAGGCCAACAGTTTAATATCTAATACAGTCTCTGTGTGTTGTTTGGGGCCAGTGCGGCTATGGGACCAGACTGGTGGGAAAACGACTTGTAACAAAATGGCACCTACAATGTGGGACCTGAGAACTTTCACTTATAACTTGACAAAAGTTTAAAAAGGGATTTTAGAAACAACAGAAAAGAGACAAGCAAGTCTTGGTAGCAGCATTTTTCTCTGGTGTCTCTGTTTTGCTAGAGACAAGCAGAGATTTGCGCTGCTCCTTAAGGGAGGTTTCCTGGCTCAGCATAAGCAGCAAACCCTGCTAACAACTTAGTGGTGTGTACGAGAGTTGGCAATGGCAGTGACCACATCTTCAAGCTGGTAGCATAGACCAAGGCAGTGAGCCCTAAAAGGCTGTCAAAGCCTAGTCATTGGTCAGAAGAGGGAACTTCCTTCATTAGAACAGTGCAGTTGTTTGATGAGAGTATGCCAGTGCCACCCTCTTTCCAGTCAAAGCCATTGCCACCCAAATCCCTGCTCAAGCCTGCTGTCTGAGTCTTGAGATCACAGGTGGGCAGCTAGTCTGTAAGCAGCTGCAAGGAAATGGAGGCTTGTAGCCCACCAGTTAGATCGCACATGGCTCGGTTTATCATCTGAACATTTTCATACATTGTATTTAAAGTCCTTGTATATACTAAGGTCAACATTTCTTGGCTCTCCACTGTGCCCATGAAAGGAACAAACACACAGCTATCTGTAAATATATCATTTATGTGTTATTGTTGACATAAGTAGATGGAATGTTGGCTTCTGAGTGGAAACCAAAGGGGTATTTCTTTGAAAAGATGAAGTCAGCTGATGGACCATCTTAAATGTGAGCTCCTGCACAGATGGAGATTCCTAAGATCCCCAGGATGCCAACCTTTGCACAGGCTCCAGTGGCTACCTCTTCTAGAAATGAGAAAAATATAAAGAAATGGTATTTAAAATACACTTCAATGCAGTAATTTAATCTTGTAATTTCATATCACCAAGATTTTAGTCAGAACTATATTATTACTACTATTAATAATAGTAATAATAATAATAATAATAGTAACTTACATAAGATTGACAACTCTGCAAGTGCTGGTCTGCTAGATCTTGGTAGATGCTGTGCAGCTCTGCACTGACAGCATTCCCCCCTGCCTCTCTAAACACTGTCTTTCTGGGCACAGTAAATGCTAACAGCTCCTTGTTTACCTGCTACTACTCTGACAAATGCCTTTTGTTGAGTTTATTGCCCGCTAGTTCTGGACATTTTGCCATAGGCAGCCCAAAATTCATCAATGATCACAGCACCCTGTGACACCTGACTACCATTCCCTGCCTGTCCACTCACTTTACCTTTTCTTCCCTGGACCACTTATGCCAGATCCTGGCAATACTCCTAAACATCTCCAGAGAATACCGTTTGAAAGATGCTTCAGAAGTGTTTTCTCACATGGAGCACTTACATGTGGGAAACAGGGCTCCCAGGGCTTTCCTTGAGGGACCCTTCCTGACCCATTTGTCATTTTCACTCCTTCACATTCCCACTGCACTGAACTCCTTGGAGGCAGAGTTTTGCCCGTTTCTGCACTCCTGACATCTGGAACAGTTCATTCACATAGTAGGATTTCAACTCCTAAAGTAAACTTAACTAAGTCTTGTTTACACTTATGTGTATTTCAGCCAGTTGCCCCCCTCAACCTGGCCCGCGTACGATTGCATGGCTTACAGCAGCTTCCAGAGCTTGCTTGGCTTCCTCAGTACTCACTTGGCTTTGTAACCACCTCTGCCTCATACAGAGGGACGTGTTTGCACAGTTGCTCAATAGGTGACCCAAACAGGAACCAATCCACCTTTGTGAACAGAGACTTCAAAGGGTTGTACTTGACCCAGGTGTACTCTCCAGAGTCCATGGTGCTCATTGTCTACATGATGTAACAGAGAACAGTGTTAAAGAAATTGGTGAGCCCGGTGGACCTTACTCTAAGTTGTGAATGGCTTTCTCCTTCCAGTGGTTAAGTAAAGGGCATTCAGAGATTTTAAGTCATGGCTTCCTGTGACTACTCTGCCTGGAGGAAAAGCTCATTCTTACCGACAGTATTTCACTGCAGTGAACCCACAGGAGGTAAATCTCCTGAAAGGGGAGCCACAGATGGGGTGGTGTAGACAGGGTCAAAACTAGGTATCTAGCCTCAGTGCACTGTGTGAAGACTCTGTATTTTGGCACTATTTGCCTGCGTCTTTGTATCCTTGAATATCAAAAATGTACTCCATTTTCAACCAAACCCTGCATCTTAGATCTCACCTCCAAGAAGAAAGGTTCATCAGCCCCCTCTCCAAAGACAGTTCATTTAAGTTCTTATAAGTTCATGTTTTCAGGGCTCTTTGATGAAAACTGAGCCAAGATGAACTTCTACTCCTTCCCCCAAATGTGAAGACACATTAAAAATTAAGCATCATACGCATGGAAATATAAGTTATGGTCTACCATTTCATTCACATCTCTCTGTAGGCAGCAGCATGGGCTGGCTCAGGAGCAGACTTTCCAAGGAATCCTAAGTTACCTGCTTCTCGTAGAGGTACCGTTGGAGTTTGTCCAGAGCAGGGATGGCTTTGTGGTCCATCTTGAGGATGTAGCAGGCTCTTCGGGAAAGTACCCGGGATGCAATGTAACCCTGAGGGAGCCACAGCAGTTACTCACCCTGAAGTTTTGGGGACTCTGATTGGGTGGGATTGAGTATTCACTATGAGTTAATGTCATTGTCAGTCTGAAATTCTGTCCACTCATCTTTCCTATGGAGTTTTTTGTTTCCCTGCTTCTCTTTTGCACATCTACGAAGCTGGCATATATGCTTTGTACTTTGTAATCAAAGTCTAGAGCAGTGGGTTACAAGACTGAGGAGGGATAGCTCTCTGCCTCTTCCTTCACATTCTGTCTAGCCTGAATAACTACAATATCCTTTAGAACTATATCATTCAACACCATAATGACTCCACATGTGGCTGTTTAAATTCAGATCCAATGATGTTTACAGTCCATTTCATGATGCATTTTGAGTACACAGTAGCCACAATGACTAGAGGCTTTCCCTTTGGAAAATTCAGACATAGAACATCTCAACCTGGCTCGATATTCTAGAAGTCTTCTAGGCATGCTTACACCTAGCCTCTTCCCACATGTTGTACCTATTCTCCCCTCCTTTTCCTCTTTTCCATCTTTCTCTACCTCAGACTCTATCCACCACATGGAGCTGGAGGACTGAGGAAGCTGAAGAATGCAGGTGTGGGGGAGTTTGACATGAAGAAGAATTATAGTCCACCACACGTTGACCTTGAATGGATATTTTCTGTGATGCTTCAAATACTTAGAAAAGATCCTACTTCCTATTTTTTAATTCTCAAAAGTTCCTAGTATCTAAAATTTAACAATAGGTTGAGGCTCTGAGGCTGATGAGAGAGGAAGGGTTTAAACAAAGTCCCCACAATTCAATTTTTTTAAAAAGCCACTTTTGGGACTTCCATTAGATCTATTTAAAGATAATTTTAGTTGCACTTCCTGTTGAAGATTTCAAAGCCTGTACACTCAAAAAGTGGCATGGATTTCCCAGCAGTTCTAAAAAGAATGCATGTGGGTAGTTTTGAGAAGAAAAAGGAAAAAACAACTTCAGACACCCATTGTTGGTGTCCACACTGGGTATCTCTGGGTAAGGCAGCCCATAATAAGTGCTGGAGGAAGAAATTAGTAAATTAATCCAAATCAGTAAATGGATGGAGGACAAAAAGCTTTCAGAGGAAGTTTCTAAGACTTGTTACCCAGTAGCAAACACTGGGAAGGCCTTATAACAAGTATCATGTTGTAAGGTCAACAGAAATAATTTAAGTTTGTGCATTGTTCTAAGTTTCAGCTCATTTTCTGTATGTTTTGTATCAAAAGTTCTCATTTATTCACCCAATATTCACTTTCCTGTTTATGGTCTAAGCATTGCTTTGATCATTCTTCCAGTCCATGTCTGGACCAGGAAAGGGACAACATCATCACTGTTGAGGAAATGTATATTTCCTTTTATTAGAGATGGTTTTAATTGCTTGATTGATTATTTAAAGGGAAAGGAAGAAGTGAGGAAAATTTTAAGGACATATAAAGATAGATAGTATAATTTGAATATGTACAAAATAGCTGACCCCTCCCTTACAAAAGCAATCTTATATAAAGTTCCCTGTAGTGAGATAGTCCTTCTGTGGCACTGACCACGCCCCCTTACTTCTTACAGTTCCCTTTGCTGCTTACATGCTTGTAGTCAAAAATAGTGGTTGAAGAGCATGACCCTGCATGGATATTGATGGTGGCAGTGTTCTTCTGGTTGTCGATGGTCACTGTCTCCTGGACACTGCCACCATTGCTGCTTGGGGTGAAGATGTTAAAAACCTAGAATTGACAACAGAGACAGAATAAGTTTTCCATAAATGGTGTGCATTGAAAAGCAGCTCTTTCACTGGGATAAAACTTTCCCTGGACAGTTCACTGGAAGCCCATGAAAAGCTTTGCCCACTGGTTTACTATACTATGCATGAGAGATCTGAAGCGATGCCATTGCAGGGAAAATGTGACTCAACACATTCTAGTGTGGTGGGTTGCATTATGAAGGCATTGGGGCTGAAACAGATACCCATTTCATCTTTCCCATCACTGGGATTCCATCTCAGTGAAGACACGGGAAATGCCCAGTTCTTGGGACAGCTGGATCTCTCATAGCTCTCATCTTCTCCCACAGCTCTAAGTAGCCAACTCACCTCATCTGCCTGAGAGCGTGTTCCAAAGATGGACAGCAGCACCAGAAATGCCACCTGAAAAACACACCAGTTCTATGTGGGGTAGTCATTCAAGAGGGGGTGAGGGAGGTCAGTAGGAGATGATGGGCATCTAAGGACAACAGCCAGCTATTATAGGTGGCCAGAAGTCTGTTTTTCTACTGTAAAAGGTAGAAAACACAATTTTCCCACTCAGCAGGCACTTGGTGAGTTTGTGTAATTTGTTAGACACACAGTGGGCAAGTGAGCAGAGAAGGACTCTCTTGCCAGGGGAAAACCTGGTGTAAATCACACCCTCTTTGGGAATTAGTGGCTAAGTTATGTCCTCTAATCTAAGGGGGAAATGTCAATCTCTTGAGACTGAGGTAAAGAGCCATTTAAAACCAGTGTGCTTTTTAGAACATAACCTTTTTACCACAAGGAAGACATCCGTCTGCTCCCACAGCCCACATCTCAGGGTGCTAAGGACTCAGCAGGGCTAGCAGGCCATGAGCCTACACAGATGCAGCTCTGATGCTGTGCTGTCCGTGTTTCCAAGTCTGACCTGTCATCATCAGCAGATGTCTTCTCTCTTCTGATCATCACAGTGAACTCTATTGCCAATTAAGCTACTGGTGTGTAGGAGGAAGATCATGGGAAGGGCAGGCGCTTCCCAGAACTGCCTGTGGGACTGCTACCATCCTTTGCCACACTTCCTCACATCTAGCTCCTGGGATGGAGGGAAACTGCAACAACAACCTACATGCAGATGCCCCACAGTCTACTTCCCGGGGCTCCCTCACCCCACCGCAGGCAGCTCTGGGGCTCAGACACTCCTGCATGTTCTATTTAGTGGGTCTAGACTAGAAGTTGGGACACGTGAGTCAACTAACCATCTCAGTGGGTGCCTAGGAAGAGCACAGGCAGTGTCCTCAGCTCCCAGATCCCTCCTGCCACACCAAGGTGGCAGTAAATTTGTACTGCAGGCTTAGATCTCCTTCTGGGAAATCAAAAGGCAGTGGGAAATGCCACTGTTCATTTAAAAGTCTTTGTCACTTTAGGGTTGACACTTAGTGTGTAGCTGTCTCTATTAGTTGAGTGAAAACAGCTGGGGGAGGGATTCCATCCTGTATCTGAACACTCAGGGTGGAGCCATGGAATCAGGTATCAGATGGGGAAAATAGACTCACTAAAGGTTCATTTTACCTTAATAAAGAGTTTATACACCAGGGCACTCTGGCTGCTTTAAGTTTACCTAGTTACTACAGCACACAGAGCTCAAGACAAAGAAACCATGTCCTGAATCCCACATTTACAGATTTGGAGAATTCAGTCTCCTCAACTTCACAACCAGGGGCAACAATACCTGCTGCACACTGGGCACAACAAGCAGAGATGATTGTCCATGACAAAACCTGGGGCTCAGTAGGCTTTGGGGGTCACTGCTATCATTCTTATTAACAGACATTGTACCACTTCTCTTTCAGATGAAAAATGCAATTGCTCTCAAATTCCTACACCCCTCACAAAGCAGTGAGAAAGGATTACTATTAAACATCTTCCAAAATAAAATCTCTACATATTTCCATTTTTTGTTATGCATTTTGAGTAAAGGTAAGAAATATATGCAATGAACACACAAATACTCAACATTATTCTCGCCCCAAACACTGTTAGTTCAATCCCAGAAGTATAGAGGTGCACAGTGTTTGTCTAAAACCCTTGAGATCCACAGAGCATTGGGTATAAGCAGCAGCAGCAGCGAGGGCATGGAGAACACGAACAGATACTCACAGGGGTTTTCATTGTGCCTGAAGAGAAGGAGCTGGAGTGAGTGTGGGTGCCTGTGCAGTGTCCAACCTTTATATCGGTTTAAGATGTGGAAATCTCTCTCCTGAGTGGTTATGTCAGAAAAGATCAAGTCTGTATCTCAGACACACCCCAGCAAATTCCCTTATCAGGACGGAGACCTAACCACATCCCAGGTATCAGGGAAGTTTGTTAGTCAGTTCTGAAAACTCCCCATTGGTCACTCTGCAAACACTCCCTGCTTATCTGCCCAGCCTGGGCTCCCACCCTGTAACAACACTGCAGACACTTGCTCTTCCCACACAGACACTGAAGGAGCATGCTAGCCCCTCTCCCCAGTGTAAAGTCCTTAATACTTCCGGGCCTCACTCAGGGTCTCTTCACCACTGCCCAGCTTGTTGAATCTATCTGGATATGAAAATAGAGCTAGTGGCTGGGAGATTTGCTTGCAATGTGAACAGACTCATGTCAGTCTTCCCTCCCTTAGACTCCGTGGCAGTCTGCAGAGATTCATGAGGATTAAGATTTGGGAGTCTACCAGCACTGACCAAATGTCAGGGCACCATGGACACTGGGTGGCACACCTCCACTTACCTTAAGAAATACTCAGATTTTAAAAAGATTGAGAGGGGAAAGCAGAGATTACTTTGAGTAATTTTTACTGCTGCAGGCAGAAATTGCTAGTTGGATTGTGGTAGGGGTGGGGGAATGTACAGCTAGCTTCATTGACAAACATTGCTAAGAGCGACACCACTGCCCACGCCAGTTTCAGAGGGAGTAATATCACAGCCACAGAGGGACCTGTGCCGAGCACATCCTCATCTGGAATCTCCAACAGCTCGGCAGGTCTGTGAGGCAGGGTGGATGTGTGTGGACCTCCAAAGCTCATACTTACAGAGGTGTTTCAACTCCCACAGGCGTCATTCTTTATAGGTTTTACTTTTGGTTTTGTTTTAAAAATGTTCCCAATACCCTTAATGCACTTTCCTACATTTTCTTGAAGTCCTTCTTTTCACATTTAATTTTACTATTACTCCTGAAAGTAGTATGAGGTTCCGATACAATTTTTTTCCACTTAGACATCCAGAAGTTCCAACATCCATAAATAGTGTAGCCCTTTGCCACTAACGTCTAAAGCCACACAGTTCCTATGGAAATAGCCTTCTGCCTGTTACCTCGATGCTTCATTGGTTCGTTTATTATCCAGCGATGATGACTCCCTGATGTACAGATGGGTTCTGATACCCAGTTGTTTCTACTTCTGATGTTCCTGTCTGTTCTGGGAGCTTCCTCAAGCACCTGCTTGCCTTCCTTGTTGTTTTCTCTACCTTGGCTGCCACAGAATTATTGTGTTTTTTGACGTCTTGAGCTGAACATTGTTCTGTCACATTGAGTCTCTCTTGCTATGTTAAATGGAAGCATTGATAAGCAATGCCACTGAGCATATTGATAAACAATACCACTGAGCACATTTTATTTTCATCATGTAACCGTTTTACCTTTTAAAAAATTTCTCAATTCTTGCGGTGACTTTTTCTCTTTAACCAAGTTATTAAGGTATTTTTCATTTTCTAATATGAAGTTTTGTTCTCTCTCTCTCCCTCCCTCCTTCCCTCTATTTTCCAGCTTCCACAAAGTGAAGATAAGTCCTCTACCATGTGCTGCCATCACAATGAACTGGGTCACAACAATTTCAAAGCAAGGAGGCAAGTAGCCATGAAACACATGAACCTTTCTTCCTTCCAAGTTATTATCTCAGGCATTTTGCCATAGTGACAGAAAACTGAGTAACACAGAAAAAAATATTCTAAATAAAGGAAAGAAAAAGAGTCCATAGGAGCAAAAAGAGGTTCGTGCACTGAGCTGCTCCCAAAAGCTACTCATCCTCACTCCCAAGCCCTTCCCAGCATGCTTTGGACTCCTGACCACCTCTTACTGTCCTCCTCCTTCCATGCTTCATCTGTCATTGCCTTTCCTCTCCTTCTCTCCATCCTGCATTTATTTATTTTCATTCTGATACTCCTGACAACTATTTGTCTAGGGATAATCAGGGAAGAAATAGTCTGATGCCCTAAACCAAGGATATCTGAGAAATTGCTGCCTACCAGAAAATATAAACAACTACTAAAAACAGCAAATGTGAATGCATGAGAGTAGAATTGCACAAGAGTCCAAAACATAAACTATACTGACCGGATGTATCAACTATAAACAAGAAAGATCACATTTATAGTGTCCATTGTTTTCTATGAAAATAATAACTCATTTCCTATGATGGCCATCAAGTCTCTCTCCTGACCCTCAGCTGGACAGAAAGAGCACAGAGTTCCTGAAATCACCTTCAGACATTGACAAGATGACTGACAAAATGCACCAAGAACTTCTGGCCAATACAGTAAGCTCAGAATGGGGCCACCCAAAAATCATTACTATTACTGTAAACAGAGTAACCTCGTAAATCATTAGAGAATTTGGGACTCAGGCATCATTATTAACTTTAAATAAAAGTAAGATGTCTGGAAAAAAATCTCCAAGCATATTAACTTTAGAAATCACCTTTAAACAAGTCATAGATGAAAGAAGAAGCCATTAAAGAAATCAAGGAACACCCTCAATTAAATGGACATAAAAATCTGATGTCAAATGCTTGTGTTAGGATGGTTGCCTTAAGAAATTTGAAAAAGGGTTCCAGAAAGATGGCCTAGTGGTTAAGAGTACAGCACTGCCTGCTTTTCCAGAGGACCCAGGTTTGATTCCTAGCACCCACATGGCAGCTCACAGCTGTCTAAAACTCCAGTCCCAGGGGATCCAGGTGCCTCCTTCTGAGTAAATGGGGTGCAAGGCCAGGGTCAGGGACAGCTAGCAGCTGCTTCTCTGGGAGGTCTTGCTGGTTCTCTGTGAAGTTCACAACTGTGAATCCTGGTGTCTTCTCCCAGCTTTCAGACTCCAGGAAATGGAGTGCTAAACAGGACTCCTGATCTTTGATTTCTAGATTTCTTTACTTCTGGATATATGGATAGCATTTTTCTCAGTACACTTAAAGTTGGGTACAGCCATGTAATTTGTTGGGTTAATATAATATATGTATGTATGTATGTATGTATGTATGTATGTATGTATATGTATGTATATGCCCCAAAGGCTCATATAATTGCTTAACCACTAGGAAGTGAAGCTCTTTGAAAGGTTTAGGAGGTGTAGCCTTGTTGGAGGAAGTGTGTCACTGGGGATGGGCTTTGAGTTTTCAAAATTCCATGCCAGTCCCAGTCTCTTTCTACCTATCTCTTGGCCTATCCCTCAGTATGTTGGTCTCAATATGATAATGGAATAAGTCTCTGAAACTGCAAACACGCCCCCAATTAAATGCTTTTCTTTCTTAATAGTTGCCTTGGTCATAATGTCTTTTCATATCAATAAAATAGTGACTAAGACAAGATATATTTAACAACAATTAAAGAAACAGAGGCCATGAATTTGAAAGTAAGCAATGGGGAAGTACATGGTAAGGATTGGAGCAAGGAAAGAGAAGATGGAAGTCATTATAGTTTAATTTCAAAAATTAAAGGGGGGCGGGGAAAGAGTTGGGAAGTTCAAGTGTCATCCAGGAATGGAAGAACTGAAACAATCAAGAATTGGTGGTGGGAGACCACAGGAAAACCTTAGGTGTTATTGCCCAGGAACCATCCACCCACAATTTTTGAGACAGAAACCCCTACTAGCCTGAAGTTTCCCCAAATAGGCTAAGCTGTCTCACCACTGAGCCCCAAGGGAATCCATCTGTCTTTGCCTTCCTGGTGTCAGGATTATGAGCACATATTATCCTTTTAATGTGGGTTCTGGGAGGTTGAACTTGGGCTTTCCTGCTTGCAAGACAAACTCTACCAACTGAGCCATCTCTCATGCCTTCCAGTTGTTTAATGAGTAGATAAACTAAGGGCCATTATGTAACAGAAAAGGAAAAAGAACAACATTGTAAGAAAGAACTCACCATGGCACATAAGAATCTCAAATTAGGGGAGGAGACCTGGAGAGATGGCTCAGTAGTTAAGAGCAACAGCTGCTATTGCCGAGGACCAAGTTTGGGTTCTCAGCACCCACATGGTAGCTCACAACCACCTGTAATTCCAGTTCCAAGGGATCTGTTACCTTCCTCTGACTTCCAAGGACACTACACATATATGATGTATTTATGTGCAGGCAAAAAACTCATACACATAAAATATAAATAAATAAAAAGACAAAATTAAAAAAGAATCCCAACTATATCATTCTAAGTGAAACATCTGGCAAATTTGTACAAACAGTAAACACAGTCCCATCCCTGATAGAACTGACAAAAAACCACTAAGGTACAAAAGAGCTACCTCAATTCCTATCACCCAATATATTAGTCTAGGTATATCAAAGATAGATTTAATGAAAGGTCATGAGACATGCTAAGAGATGAGGAAAGATACAATGTGAAGCAGCCCCATAATCACCAAGCCAATCTCAGAAGATGGGGATGCTGGAATTACTAACCAGAGAACTAAGGATCAGGAACATTCCCAAAATTCTCGGCCAGTCTTTACTGCATGGCAAGATCCTGCCACCAAAAACAAACAAACAAACAAACAAAAACAAAACAAAAAAACAAAAAGAAATAGTGTATATAAAGGATTGACTTATAAATTTTAGACAAAGCAGATTTCATAGTATTGTCAGCAATCAACTTGGCAGAATTATACAAGAATTATCCTCCCACAAGATGTAGTAATCTGTAACATTTATGTGTCTAACAATTGGCCATATATATAGTCTTTTTTACACACACACACACACACACACACACACACACAGGAAACCAATAGAATTAGAATTTTGCTATACTGTCTCATCATTTTTGTTATTAATCTGTTAATAGACAAACCTTACTTGGAGATTTCAATACTGCATTTTTGTCATAGATAGATCAGGTCGTCATGATTTGGTAGGAATATAATTAAACTATACAGCACCATCACACAGTGGTGCTGTGTGTGATTTGATGAACTGTGGGACCAACAGAAAAGTGA